AGCGTCTCGGTGGTTCTGGATTGGGCTGAGGCAGCAGTATGTTTATGCAGAAGCCATGTGTGCTAAGCCCTGTACTGAGCCCTTTTCTTTGAATGATTTTGTTTCTTTTAACTTGTATCCTCCCTTTCCCACAGGAAACATGGTGGAATGGTGCTTACCTCAGGATATTGATCTTGAAGGTGTTGAGTTCAAGTCTATGGCCAGTGGATCCCATAAAATTCAGTCTGATTTTATGTAAGTACTTCTTTTTTTTTTTTCCTTTTTTTGTCTTTTTTCGTGTCCGGCAATGGATCGCAACCCTCAGTGTCGCACCCGTACCGGACCGGGACCGGCAACGGGATCGCAAACCTCGGTGTTGCGGCCGCACCTCGCTCAGCCAGTGAGCGGGAACCGGTCTGTATGTGGGATCTGAACCCTCGGCGGGAGCGCCACCGCACTCCCAAGCGGCGCACTGTAGCAGTGTGCCACCGGGCCGGCCTATGTAAGTACTTCTGACCCTAAGTCTTCTTTGAACCCTTTCCTCCCCATGCCCAACTCCTCACCTTTCTTAGAGTTCTTCAGGTGGTGTGTGTAAATGCCCTGAAAACATATGTGTGGTTTTGTGTTTATATATCAATTTTCTAGCAAGAAGGTCTCTAGCTTTCATCAGGTTCTCAATGGGTTTCATGACTTAAAAACTCAAGAATCCCTATCACAGAGGTTCTCTCACTTTCTAGAAATTATATGGACCTCACCTGATGTTTAAAAATTAAAATTAAAAACCTCATTTGAGGTTTAAGAGTTAAAATTTAAAAATGGAAGAATATGGTTTCAGCTTAGGGTGGGTTAGCTTAAGACATTTATGTGCTAAAAGTTGAAATTCCAGCTTTAAGTAAGGCCAGTTTTTAGTCCTGTGTAATCGAGGCATTAAGAGTATATGAGGACGAGCAGATAGAAGGAACTTAAGGATAATGAAGTTGCTTTAATCTCCTCATTGGGCTGAAACCATGACCAACGCGAGTGTGAGAAAGGAGAAGGAAATAACATGTCAGCTCTATTAAAAGTATGAGAGACTCAGGAAGGGAGGAAAGAATCAACACGGTTCATGCTGAGAACATAAAGATGAATCTGGGTCCTGGTTGTCCCATCCAAGTCCTCAGCTGTGGTGCAGGAGAGAGGGGATGTGTCCACGGTCATGGGCATTTGAGCAGCAAGCTTTCCAGAGACCGAGTCCTGACTCTGCCTGGGTGGCCCTTGGCAAGTTCTAGAGTCTCTGTGCGCCTTGAGGTTAAGTGGCTGGGATTCATTGCTCCCCTGAGGTTCTTTAAAAAAAAAAGTGTATTTTGGGCTGGCGCGTGGCGCACTCAGGAGAGTGCCGCGCTGGGAGCGCAGCGAGCTCCCGCGGCGGGTTCGGATCCTATATAGGACTGGCGGGTGTGCTCACTGGTTGAGCACGGTGCCGGCGACACCACACCAAGGGTTGCGATCCCCTTACCAGTCACAAAAAAAGACAAAAAAAAAAAAAAAAATAGTGTATTTTAAGGCTGAGCTTTGACATTTAGAGCCCTGCACACAGTTCATTTGTTTTGTTTGGGATTGCATCTCAAAGAAAAAAACAAGCAAAAAATTTTTCTCTTTGATTTGGAGCCCGACTACCTATTTGGTCTCTTTTAGCTATTTCCGAAAGGGGCCCTTCTTCGGCTTGGCCTGCTTCGCCAACATGCCGGTGGAAAGCGAGCTGGAGCGAGGCGCACGGATGAAGTCTGTGGGCATCCTGTCGCCTTCCTACACGCTGCTCTACCGCTACATGCACTTCCTGGAGAACCAGGTCCGGTACGTGGTTTGCAGACACGTGCAGGAGGCAGCAGGAGCTGCCAGCTGGTGCCTGTGCGCGGAGCCCCCAGAGATGGGGATCGCAGCCAGAACAACAGATGCCTTTCCAAGAGCATCGATGGCATGTGTCAGGCCTCAGGTGGTGGCCTTTTCTTTCAGCCAGTGTCCTGCAGGATGATCCTTCACACTATAATGAAAGCTCGGATAGATCTTGCTTTCAGTTTGTATTTAATACTGGCATCCATTTTGTTTAATTAAATAATTTGTTGACATGTACATGATCTTTGTTTACCTTAAGCCACAATGGTTACCTCATTGCCCCAGGTAGACAAACAGATGCTAACCTCTTTTCAAGCCTAATTATTTATTAGTTGGTGTTATTATTATTATTATTTGTGATAATAGGAAGAGAATTTGTAACAGAAGCAGCAAAACTGTTAGTTACTTTACATATTTTTTTTTTCGTCATGCAAGCCACCTAATTACATTTCAGATTTTGAGGGGAAAATCTCTCTCTAATCTCTGACATACGCTTAAAATTTTAGCACATTTGCACCTTTTCTGAATGAACATGTGGGTAGCTGTTTTAAAATTCATCATTATTTTAAAGTGTTTATGAAACATAATCTGCCTTGGTCATCATCTTTGAAAAAACATGAAATTTATTATTTGTGGGAAAAACAGATTTATTATTTAAAAATTTATATAAAAGTACAAAAGGATAAAAAAAAACCTCCCAAATATCAACAGAGATAGCCATTGTCAGTATTAGTGAATGTCATTCTAGAATGGAAATAACTTTACAAAAATAGGGTTAATATTTTATGATGATTTAATTTTATCAAATAGGCTATTTTGATGAGATATGTATATTACATATAATTTTACTTGTATATATCAGAAGAAAAGAGTAAATGAAACTGAAGGAATTGTCAAACTTCAAGTACATTTTTTTTCACAATAAGATATATTAGCCCTTGAAATATTCCTCCAAAGTTAAGAAAAAAGATTATAAAAAACATGAAGTTATGGTATTATTACTTTATTGGGAAATAACATATAAATAGTAAAGTACACAAATCTTAGTGTAGGTGTAGATGTTTTTAAGTTGTTTCAACTATAGTCAGTGTCTGTTGTATTTCTTCCCAGTTTCTATCTTCTACTTCACATCCGAATCTTTATGTATTGTAAGATTTATTACATTTAGTTCTGTAATCATAATTCCCTCAGGTCTTAAGTCTCAGTTATATATTTAAATGGATTTAACAACATTTTCATGGCTTACCCATGACTTGCTCCATTCCTGAATTCCTGATTTGACTTATTTCTTGGTTGGTTGGATTTTGCCATTGAGCACTTTTTTCCTTTCTTTCTATGAAAGGACCATCAGTGCTGCCTTCTCTGAGATCTTACACGCATAATAATTTGGCTTGTTCCCTTTTATCCTTGGCTGATGTAAGATATTTGAATGCTGCTTTCTTCCCCTCAGGATGGTATAGATATTGCTCTGTTGTCTTCTGAAATTAGTTGATTTGGGGAAGTCTCTTTTGTCCTGATACCTGTAGATTCTTTTTCTGTGCTGTTTCTCAACTTGCCAAATGTTGATTAGTCCAAATCAGTTTTTTTTCTGGGACGGTTTGTCCTATTTGCTCTACAGATATGTCTTTTATTTTTAATTTAAGGAAACTCTCCTTTTCCCATTTCATTTTTTTTCTTCTTCAGGAACACCCTGTATGTGCATATGTTTTCTCTCTGTTGTCCTCCATATTTATCATTTTAATGATTATTTTAATAGCTCTGTAGTACTAGAGCTGTTCCATACATTTATTTGGTTATTCCCTATAATTGAGCATTTAACATGTTTCCTTTTTTTTTAAGCTACTCCTCTATATCTTAGAGCAGTGGTGACTACCTTCATGTATGTATCTTTTTCTGTATTCAAAATATTTCCTCAGTTTTGAGTCTCAGAAGTAATATTATGGAGTTAAAAAAAAAAAAAAAAAGAACATTTTTATTGGGATCCTGACACTTTTTAAAATTCCCAAATAGGTGATAACATTTTCATGGCTCAAAAACCAAAAATTGTAAAGAGGTACTATATTAGTTAGGGTCCTGGCTAAACAGCAACAACAGAGGCCACAAAGTGCAATGGCTCAGTTAAGATAGAAGATTCTTTCTCATGTAATAGCCTAGAGATAGGCAGGTGGTGAAGATGTGTAGCCTTCTCTATTCACACAATTGTTCAGGGACCCGTGTTTCTTATTATTCCGCCTTGTTCTAGGAATGTCTTTTTGTATTCTAAGGTGTGCTTGTCCAAGCATTCAAAGCTGCTGACCACTGCTCTGTCTGTATTCCAGCCTGCAGGGAAGAGGTAAAGACCAGAAGGTTCATATATCACTTCTCATATTCCATTGTTAAGTTTTCAATCACAAAGACACACCTAACAGCAAAGTAGCCTGGGAAGTGTAGTCTCCAGGTGGGTGACTGTGTTCAGTTAAAATTCTGGGGCTTTGGTTTAAAACTGTAAGAAGGAAAGAATGGATTTTGAGAAAAAATTAGCAACCTCTGCTTCAGTTTGCCCCCCCTGGCTCTGTGTGTATTCTTCCTCCCACCTCAAAGGAGACATCGTAGAGTCTCATCCAGTCCAAACTCCAGGACTTCTGTGTGACATGCAGCAATCCTTTGCATCAGACCAGGACATGGGTCTTCTAACTCTGAAGGCCTATAAAAGAGTAGACAAGCCCCTCCATTCCTCACCTCCCAGATGTAATACAGATGGCAGAGTAGGAGCCACAAGACAAGCTCCTGTTTGGAAAAGAGGAAACTGAGAACAGCAGTCATGAGTCCATAATGATGAAATTCTGCTGAGCAGGAGTTTTAGCTCCTTGTCCTGGCTGAGTCATTTGTTCTTGCTTAAACCTTGATTCTGCTGCGTAGAATTCCTTCTCTATTTTCTTCCATGGCCCCTGGCTATGTCTTCTAGAAGAGTCTTTCTCCATTTTCCTCCACAACCACATTTGAAGCAGACATTGGAGAACAGGCCCTTGTTGAGGTCGCACAGCTTTAGAGCACATCTGCTGGCATAGGTTTGGGGATCCTCGTGGTTTCATTAGGAGTTGAGAAGTCACAGGCTTTATAGGCCAAGCATGTGACAAACATGTTCCTTAACAGCTAAATAGGCTTCTGGTTTATTTGCTTCTAATCAGTTCCAGGCAAAAGTATCCACTACTAAAGATCTCTTCTGGGTCATGGCTTTTAAGGCAGTGCACTCTAGATTCATTACTGATCTCTGCTCTTGGCCCATCCCTCTCGACCTCATTTTAATGGCAGCTACCTTGAGGCTGTTCCCTAAATCTGAGATTTACAAATGGGCTGATTCCCATGTCTGCCCAAGAATAGTTAGCTGGAGACTTTCATAGAGGCCTTAAAAGAGACTCTTATCTCAAGATAACAGGGGTACAGAAGCAATTGGTTTTTCTAGCTCCACAAGTCTAAAATTATTAGTCTTGATTGATTTATATTGTAGGACTTAGAACACATTGCTCTTAGTAGGCTGTATTTCCGTCCATTTCTGCTTGCCAGGTCAATTATTGCCTATTTCCATCTTACTCTTGTAGCCACTCAGTAAAAGCAGCAGGGGCCATCAATCAGCACACATCAACATTCTACTTCTAAGTGCTTCCTCAAGCTACAAATTCAGATGGCACAGGGTCTGTCTTCCAAGTCATTGAAGTTTTAGCAAACATTTTGCTACAGTATAACAAGGGTTACCAGCTTTCTAATCTGCAATATCTATTTTCTCACCATCCTGCCCTTCCAGCTGCTAAGCCAGTGCCATATTGTAGTTTTGATACTGTAGTAACTCATTTCTAGGTATCATTTTCTGCTTCAGCTAGAGTAGAGACTAAGTTGCTATAACAAAGAGGAGACCTAAACTGTAGTGACTCAAACAAGCTAGAAGTACAGCTTTTCTAGCGTGATTATCCCAGAGAGAGAGAAGCAATTCAGTGTGGGTAGGTGGCTCTGTTCCATTGGGTTATACTGAGATCCAGGTCTTTCTGTCTCATATTAACGTCATCTCCTAGAGTGTTGTCTTTGTTCATGTGGTAGAAGCTGACTCCCCATGTCATGTTCCAGCCTGCAGGAAAGCAGAAAGTCACAGGAATCCCAAAGGTTGGACACATCACTTCTGCTCACATTCCATTGGCCAGCTCTGGGTTACTAGGCACACCTAGCAGCAATCTGGGAAGTGTGGTCTTTAGCTGGGTGTCCATGTGACTATCTAAAATTTGGGAGAGCACCCATCTCTACCACTGGCATAAAATGAAAAGTCTTCACCTAGCTCCCATATCCATCCAACAGTATAGTAATCACTGTTAATTTCTCATGTATTGTCCCAAAGTTTGTGTATAAACACAAGTATATACAAGTGCACATGTATATTCTTATTTTCCCTCTTTCATGCAAAAGGTAGTGTGTTATAGTGCTCTTTTGCACCTTGCCTTTTTCATTCAACAGTGCAGGAGATCTCATATCAGTACATCGAGAGCTTTGTCATTGTTTTTACAGTAGTATCCTATGCCCTGTATAGAACGACAGTGCTTTATTTATCAGGTTTATTATTGATAGACATTTGATTGTTTCCAGTCTTTTGCTGTTACACATAATCTGCACTGCATACCCATGAACAAGTATGATTTCACACAAGTGGTATATCTGTACATTAAATTTCCAAAAATGAAATTGGTGGTTCAATAAAGAACAAGTATGATTTCACACAAGTGGTATATCTGTACATTAAATTTCCAAAAATGAAATTGGTGGTTCAATAAATACAGCCATGTTGCTTTCCATAGAGCTTGTGCCGTTTCTCATGCCCAGCAGTAATGCAGGAGAATGCCTGTTCCATCACAACATATGAATGCAAAAATGAAAGTTTGGGGTTTGGGGCACTCTAGTGGATAAAAAACAGTACGTTAGTATAGTTTTGATTCGCACTTTTCTCACTATAAGTGAGGTTGAGCACCTTTATATATGTTTGAGTCATTTGTATTTCCTTTTCTGTGAACTGTTTCTAACCTTTGCTACATTTTGTTGTTGGCCTTTTCTTATTAATTTCTAGGATTTTGTTGTAAAATAAGGAAATTGGCTCTTTGTGATATAATTGAAAATATTTTTCCACTTTTTGTCTTTTGTATTTGAACATTACTTTCTTATTATGTGGATGTTTTTCTTTTTTAAAGTCATTAGTCTTTTTATGGCTTCTAGAATTTATGGCATAGCTAGAAATGTTCCCAGCTTGGTGATTAAAGAGGGTAGAGGTAAGATGAGAAAAGAGACTTGGATGACAGAGCATGAAGAAAAGAAAGAAGCACAGTTAGATAAGCCCAGGTCTCGGCAGGGATATCCAGCTTGGTGATTAAAGAGGGTAGAGGTAAGATGAGAAAAGAGACTTGAATGACAGAGCATGAAGAAAAGAAAGAAGCACAGTTAGATAAGCCCAGGTCTCGGCAGGGATAGTGCTTGACTGCAGCAATTACTTTTGTATGAATTAACTAGACTCTATTTCTGCAGCAACTAATCTGTGTTTTATATTCATTCTGACTTCTGATATCACAAACTGTATTTTTAGTATTTCATCTACAAATCTTACCCTCAATATCTCTCTAGTTAGAGAGTCCTTTCTATGATTATTTCTTATTAATCAGACGATATTGGAGAACTATTTTATAATTTAAAAAAATTAGATTTAAAAAGGGAAGAGGGACTGTTACAGAATAAAAATAGATCCAAACATAATCACGTTTTTGGACCTTGCCTAGATCTTGATTTAAACAAACTAACTATGAAATAACATTTTGGGGACGGTCGGTATAATTTGAATGTGGACTGGGTATTAGCTTATACGAAGGTGTTTGAATTAACTTTGTTAGGTGAGGTAATGGCAGAGTGGTTATGTGTTATGTTATTTTTTAAACAGACTCTATCAGTCAGATATGCATACCAAAGTATTTATGGGTAAAGTGTTATGATATGAGATTTTCTTTAAGACATTTCAGGGAAAACTAGTGGTGGTGGTAGGGTATAGGACATAGATGTAACCATATTGATCAAATATTGATCATTATTGAAGCTAGGTGGTAGATATATCGGGCTCATTATTCCCTCCTTTCTACTTTCAGTGTATGTTTGAAAATTTCCATAACAAAAAAGTTTAAAAAGACTATGAAATTAATACATAATGATTGTAGAAAACTTTGAAAAATAGAGAAAAGCTCAAAGGGAAAAAATAAGATCCCAACAGCCAGACATATCTTCATTAACATTTTGTTGTATATCCTTCTAGTCTTTTTCCCATGTGTAAATATATACATACACATTAGGTTTTTTTTACAGGATTATTAATGTCATTTAATATCTAAATTTTGTAACTTAGTATATTAATCTTTCAGTGTATCATGAATAATAGTCCTCAACATTATTTTGTCAGTTTCACAGCATTTCAATGCATTAGATGTATCACAATTTATTTAACTATTTCACTATTATTGGCCTTTTAGGTTGTTTCTTATTTTTCACCACTGTAAACATGAGCATCCTTGTGGGTAAATGATTGTTCACATTCATGAATAGTTCTTTAGGCCACATTCCTAGAAATGGAATCACCAGGTCAGAGGGTATATACAGTGGACAATTTGATACAAGTTGTAAGTTACCCTTGGGAAGGTGGTATCATTTTGTTCCTGCATCAGCCATAAGTGGGAATGCCTGTTATTCTGTATTTGCAAAGCCAGAAGACAGACTCAGATTAGTAATGAATACACCATCTCTGATTCTTACTTTGGGTGAATTATTGCCTCTGTGTGGTAGGGGAAGGCAGAGTTAGTTGCACGGGGCACCTGAATGGTCACATATGCCTGTGTTTTATCAGTGAAGGGCTGTGAACTTAAGGAGAACCCTAACATCTCAGGTCCTGCAGGAGAATCCTCGATCTGGCCCAGAAGCCCATCACTTCAGATCAATAGCATATACTGAGCCAGTTATTCTCTAATTTTACAGTGTCATATCTCTTGGACAGTTTCCATAGATGGCTTGGCATACATTTCAGTATGGTAGTTTCTTAATCTACACATCCTTATAGATAAGCTCACTAGGAAGGTCTCCTTTTATACCATCTTTGAAGACTCACTTATCTTCCAGCACTCTCAACCTTGTTTTAGTACATTTTTGTTTATCCTGGTATTGTGGTTTGTAATCAATCTTGTTTGTTGCGTAATCAACAGTGTGTTTAAATTTCGAGGCTTTCATACAACAGTTGTTTAACATTCATCCAGGAACTGCCAATTTATATTTGTCTCTATATTATTGCCTTGTTCTGTCATGGTCAGTGATATTTTGGTTATCAAAGGACAGAATGCTGGTTGCTACGTTTTTGTTGAAGGGACTATAACTTAGTAGTGAGCTTTTCTTTAGAATTTTGGTCTAAGTATAGAGCTTAAGGTAGTCAAACAGAAAAGACAATTCAGCAGTAAATCAGCAAACAATAAGCCTAGAAAATGAAAAAATATTACATAAATTATCTTTGATACAGCCCCCTTTAACACAGAAATTATACTATTAAGATTATGATAAAATGATTCTCAGTGTTCTTTTTAGGGAAATCAGGTCCTGATGAAAACACCTTTGAACTTGATTGCCATTGTGTGATTTTCTCTTAATCAAACCTTCATCAATTTGACACACATCCCTAGAGAGTATCTGACACCTGCCCTCTTCTCAGGATAGCCAGACACAACTCAGCCACCACGGACTTCCCATCTAGCCCAGGAACGTTTGTAAGAGTGAGAGAAACGATTATAAGCCACCCCTTCCCAAATCGTCATTATTATTACATTGCATGACTACCTCCTGTGCAAGGCTTAAAACAAGATATACAGGAAGCCTGAAATTAGAGAGTTATCACCCAGAAAGGAATTTGTTAGTAATCATTTTTTGAATATAGTTGATTTTTAAAATTTTTTTTTTTCTTTTTAAAATATAAATTTGCCTGAAGGTCTCTTGTCGCCTTGACAATGAGAATAGGAAGCCTGAAATTAGAGAGTTATCACCCAGAAAGGAATTTGTTAGTAATCATTTTTTGAATATAGTTGATTTTTAAAAATTTTTTTTTCTTTTTAAAATATAAATTTGCCTGAAGGTCTCTTGTCGCCTTGACAATGAGAACTATAAGTCACTTTGGAGTGAAGACAGAACAGCCAGCTACCAGTTGGTCAGTGAAAAGCTTGCCACTGAGCAGCTCGTGGCATAGTCTGGAGTAAGCCACGGTGCCAGGTTGCAGGGGCAGAGGGGTTGCCTATTTTTTAATCATTGTTGTTCCAGGGCCAACCATAATTAGGGACACCTCTTCTGGCTCAGCGAAGCTATATTTTGCTTCTTTCTCCTCATTTGATGGAAACTGTAGGACACCAAGAAAATTAAAATGGGCTAGAAGGGCTTTGGTATATTTTATTCTTGCCTGTATTAACTTGCTAGGGCTGCATAACAAAGTATCAAAAATTGGGTGGCTTTAGAATGATAGAACCTTACTGTCTCACAGTTCTAGAGCCTAAAAGTCCAAAATCGGTGTCAGCAGACCTGGTTCCCTCTGAGGCTGTGAGGGAGACTCTGTCCTGTGCCTCGGTCCTGGCTTCTGATGGTTTGCCTGCAGTCTTTGGTGTTGCTTGGCTTATAGAGGCAACACCTCAGTCCCTGCCTTCATCTTCACATGGCTCTCTGTGTTTGTCTGTCTCTGTGTCCAATATTCTTTTTATAATGATATCAGTCTTACTGGGTTGGGCCCATTCTAATGACCTCATTTTAACTTGATTACCTATATAAAGACCCTATCCAAATAAGGTCACATTCAGAAGTACTGGGGCTCCTATATATCTTTTTTTGGAGGACAACATTCAACCTTCACCAGCCCTGTTAAACATAGTGCCAAACAGCACCCACAGCTCTCCTGCACTCGACCTGGAGGCAGGATTCTCCATTGTCCTAGTGGTCTAGGGACTCAATGCCACTTCCTCAGTTATAATGTTAGTCACCCAGGCTACTCCACCCACAGCCCAATCTCTGCCGACCTGAGCAGGTGGTGAGAAGTACTGGGGCTCCTATATATCTTTTTTTGGAGGACAACATTCTACCTTCACCAGCCCTGTTAAACACAGTGCCAAACAGCACCCACAGCTCTCCTGCACTCGACCTGGAGGCAGGATTCTCCATTGTCCCAGTGGTCTAGGGACTCAATGCCACTTCCTCGGTTATAATGTTAGTCACCCAGGCTACTCCACCCACAGCCCAATCTCTGCCGACCTGAGCAGGTGGTGGGAAGAGAAGAGATTCTGATGCTTTTTATGTCTTTATTACTTGATGTAGAAATTATGAGCCCTTAGTGACATCCAATAATAACTGTTTTCCCGTATTTGAGACATTGAGGGGTAAGTTTCTCCATATTCTTTTACAGCAACACAGCAAGCAAACATGAGTTCTAAACAAAGAGCAGCTTTAAGCAGCAAATTTGTAGTCTTCCATGTTATGCCTTCTCACATAAACAGCCGTCCTCTGGAAAGCAGCAGGATCTTAGCATACCTTGCCCGAGAACAATAGGCATTAGTCATAGTCTGTTAATTCTGCCTGTTTCCCGTGAGAAAGAGAATGTGTGTTACATGGTCCTGTCAGGGAGTTTCAGGCCCACGTTTGAGCTTTTTCTAAGGATGTTCTATAACACAAAAGGAGGCGTCCTGAGCAACCTCAAGATAGGGATCTTTAGAGTGTATCAGGGCCTTTGCCCCTAAGCACTATAAGCCTCAGGGCGGGGCAGTGCACTGCAGAGCTGTGGCCAGTACTGTTCTCACCGTGCATGTGTGTGTGTGTGTTGTGCAGACACCAGCTGGAGATGCCGGGACATTACTCTCATCTGGCTGCATTCTACGAGGACAAGAAAGGGGTGCTCCATGCTGGTCCTGGAAGGGGCAGCAGCCTGCCCCCTGTCTACTGGCTGCCTTCCATACACCGATACATGTATCCTGAGATGAAGGTGAGGTCAGCCGTATCCTCGCACAGTCCTGGACCACACTGGGAATAGTAGCTATTGATCCATTTTGAGTAAATAAAAAATGTGTGTCTTGGGCTCATGCAAAAAGTCCGCTTTCAGTAGAACAGGGTTGGAACATAAGTATTGGGGCTCATTTAAAACATAAGTCAAGTTATCCTAAACTCTATGCTTTCTAGCCACTTCTGTGATTATGGGGCAAAGCTGTGGGTGATAGGCCAGTCGGGCTGGACTCCTGGGGGACAAAAGTTGGATTTGATTCTGTTGACTGCTTCAGATATTTTAAAGCCAGACATTTGAACAAAGGATGAAGAGTTTGATAAACAGGGTTTGACATTTTTGATATTACTTTACTTAGCGTTTTTTTCTGAAGTACTTTGCCTTTGGTGCTAGAATATGTTTGTTTTCAGTTAAGAAAACTCCCAGCCAAGCGTTAGGTGTTGGGATGGTACAAAGATGCCTGCTAAGAACATCAAAAGAGAGCTCCCCCGCCCCCGGTTGGTCATCAGATATTTCAGTGGAAGCCTAGGGCTCCTGTGGCAGAGAAATTATGCCATGAGTTTAAGGGAGAACTCTGGGAAGGCATCTTGGAAGAGGAGTTGGTCCCTCAAGCGTATGGCTGGGTGGAAAGGGGGAGATGTGGGTTCAGGGCTGAGGGAAGAAGCCATGAGCAGTGGGGAGAGCCGGCTCCAGCACCTTCTCAGCACCTCCTGAGTGGGAAGCATTGAGATAAAAGATTAGAAAAATAGGTTGGATTAGGTTGTAGAAAACCTTAAAATCTAGCCCATGGAATTTAAACCCTAATAAGACCAGTGAGGGTCTCATCAGGAAGGCAGAGGCTGAGTTAGGTGTTTCAAACTAGTTCAGTACAGAGAACTGGTACTGCAGGAGTTAGAAGACTGACGGAGGAAACAGAGAATGTGGTAACCCGAATATTAGTAACTACAGACAACAGCTGCTACCCTATGTCAGTCATTTATTGCTGTGTAACAAATTACCCCCAAATTAATGGTTTAAATCAGTGCATATTTATTATCTCACAGTTTCTGAGAGTCAGGAATCTAGGCATGGCTTAGCTGAGTCCTCTGCTATATGATCTCTCATGAGACATAAGGTGTCAGCCATGGTTGGAGTCTAATCTGAAGGTTTAACTGGGGAACTATGCACTTCTGAGCTCATGTGAGTGCTGGCAGGGTTGAACTTCTTGAAGACTGCTGAACTGAAGGCTGGCTGTTTGTTGGAGGCCACCCTCACTTCTTCCCCATGTGGGACTCTCCAGGATGGTGCTTGCTTCATCAAAGCCAGAAAGAGAGAGTCTGCTAGCAAGATGCAAGTCAGAATCCTCTAGCCATCCTCACTTCTTCCCCATGTGGGACTCTCCAGGATGATGCTTGCTTCATCAAAGCCAGAAAGAGAGAGTCTGCTAGCAAGATGCAAGTCAGAATCCTCTGTAACTTAATCATGGCTCTGCAATGTTGCCATGTTCTCTGGGTTAGAAGCAAGTTACTTAGGAGGAAGAGGGGATTGCATAAGGCTGTGAATACTGAGAGATGGAGATCACTGGGTCTGTCTTAGAGACTGCCTGCCACATACCCCCACATACCCCTGGGGCAACAAAGGGGGAGAAGTGACATTTCCAGAACCACAGGAGCTTGGAGGTGGGGCTCCTGCACAGCCAGTGCTCACCTCTTGAAGGAGGCACTGTGCATCTGATGCTGATACCTCTCATGGCCATGGCTTGACTTGGGCTGCGGGTGCTAAGAAGAGCTGGAAGCTGGAGTCATAGGTGTCTTCTGCTGCTGGAGAAACACTAGCAGGAGCAAGAAACTGAAGAGAATTACTTTTCCCTTCCTCCTGCCTTCCAGTATTCAGTCCTTGCTCACCATTGGAAGCACCTAACAGGAAGNTTCGACCCTAGGAGATGTGGGGAAAAGGGTACTTTCACAGGTTGTGGATAGAAATGCAGAGGGTATTTTTTTAAAAAAACAATGTGAACAGGAGAAATTAAAAATACATGCACCTTTTGTGTCAGCAGTCCCACTCCTCAGGATCTACCCTATAGATATAAAACCACTGGAATGATGTATGTGTAAGAATGTTTAACCCAACATTGTTCAGAGTGGGAGAAAACTAGAATGCCTGTATATGGAACAGCCATTATGAATAATGAATTAGAGCATAAGAAGTTGATGTGGAAGCCCTACCAGGTCTATTTTGTGTAAGACTAGCAAGGTGCAGAAAACTATATATGATATGATTGCACTCTTGTTAAATAATCACAGTCTCAGGTATAGATATAGTTACACACGCATATACATAAATGAACATGGAAAAATATGGATGGATATGTACTAGGTTTTCAAGGCATGTATTACCTGGGGATGAGGTAAAGCATGGGGGAAGGTTGTCTAGGGCAATGCTTACTGTTGAGCTCTTTTACTTGCCTGTGATCCTTCCGACTGGGCCAATTGTCGAGCTAGGGCTGGGTCTGGACTCCAGCCCATTCACAGACTGGGTCACAAACCCTTCCCATGCCAGGCTGGGTCACCAGACCCCTCACACACGGGTCTGTGAGCTAGGTAACTGGCCAAAAGGTCCTTGGAGCTGTAGGTTCAAAAGCATGGCCGCATGGAGTGGCAGAGGCCCAAGGCATATACCAGGCAATGTCACAGCGTCGCCCATGTGCACTAACTCCACCCACACATAACTTGCTTATTATAGAATGCGCTGCACCACCCCCAACCTGACCCAGAGTGAGGGGCCCTGATTAAATTATTCTATTTTCCCAACACTTACATGTATGAAAAAGGAAAGGCCTGGGGGAGAAATGACAGCACTAAAAAAAATGGTATATGTGGTATGACTCCATTTGTTATTTATGAAAAATCATGTATATGTACATATTAAGAAATTTTTCTTGGGTGCCAAGTGCTGAGTATTCAAGTTCCAACAATGAACACAGAAGACCCAGTCCCTGCCTTCATACAGTTTATAGGCTAGTAGGAGAAGCAGGGAAACAAGCAATTGAAATACAGCCTGATGAGAGCCGTGTGGGGAGGACAGGGGGCTGTC